TCCTGCAAAACGCTTCTTCCGCCACAAGGAAGTCCGAAAGATCGTTCATTGCAGCATGATGGTTGCCCAAGCGGGACTGCGCACTCCCGAGATAATACCAACTCTTGATGAGGAAATAGAGTCGTTGCCATTCGTCGTTCTCAATCATTTCTGCCCGCTCAAGCAACACCAAAGCTTGAGTTACAACGTCGGCGTACATCTTCCTGTGCCATAGGACCTCGATTTGAAGCCGTATGACATCCAATGGTCGCCGATTCGTTAGACCGAAGGTGATGTCGAGCGCGGAAAGATCGGGAAGGCAGTCACGTAGTAGTTTGCCGCGAAAGAGTCTGCGTCTCGCTAAATTCATCTTCATAACAAAGCTGTTGTAGCAGCGAGACCCAAGATAGAGCTCAAACAGCTCCGTGAATTGAGTCATGATGACTCTCTCGAGTTCTTTCATCTGGTCAATATCCGCCTCCGCTAGTGCTTTGAAGATGGCTGTCGTCGCATGGCCTGTGGATCGACGTGCAGCACTACTCTCAGCAACATATTTCGTCAACATCACTGCTGCAGGGCGGTGGTTACCGTCGTTCAGATCATTGACTTTCTGTATAACGTTTGGTAGGATGTCATGGTATGTGCCCTGGACAATATTGTCGATCTCTCTGAAAGCGCCACGCCAATGCAGGCCTCCAACATCGGCTTTTCCTGCGGCGAAGTATCTGCATCCCGTGTCAAGGCCGCCAAGAAAAGCATGCAGCGCATTTCTCTCTGCTGGTTGAGATTTCGAGCTTTCAATGATGAGTTCATTGCCATTGAAACGCCACTCTCCCGATTCGAAGGAGCCCTTGATATACAGGTCGACATCATAAAACAGCTTTTCAGGCACTCTCCACTGCCGCGGACTTGACAGAAGCCTTTGAATTGGCGAGGCGGGTGGTGTTTTGCTCACAAGCTCTCTAGCCTGAAACTGGACTTGCGAAAGCTTGCTTTGTCGAACTTCCGGACGTTGGTCTAAACTGGGCAGCTCTTGAAGCCTTCTTGGGTTGATGGACTGCTCAATTGGCTCAATACGATCGCGCTTGCGAAACTTCTCAATCTTTTCGAGATCAACCGGTCGATTTCTGATGAAAAAAGCAGACTCATTCCCTGTCAACTCTCGCAGCTTCTTTTCTCGCAGAATGGCCAATACATCACGTCTTTTCGTATTCTTGTGGAATCCCCATTTCTCCAGTCTCGCCTTGTAGATCGCTGCCCTATGGGAGAAGTCAGAAGCTAAGAAGTCAAACGCACTGCTTCACATACGTGGCAGTCACATTATAGGCTTCCTGTATCCTTTCCATGACCTTTGTAAGCGTCTGATTCTCAACGATGTACAGTTGGAAGATCTCCCCCTTGCAATCATCCAACGACATCGCAGGGTTCACATCAAGGTGGTCATCAAGTGGCGGCGCCATATTTAGAGCTTGACCGAAAGAGATCAGGTCAGCCTCGAGGGTGCTTGGTGAGCACGAGTTCAGATAGCCCAAGGGAAGGGGAGTTTTGAGGGTTTCTCGAGGAACATGGCGATGGCCCTCTTGCCGCGGCTGCATATCATTCAGCTTGACCAGCAGTTCTTTGCCAGCATGTGTGGGCCACCAATTGTGTTGGTTCTCCTGAGCCTCGGTGATTAGAACGATTGGATTTCAACAAAAGTAGGACGCCATATAAACTCTTTTGGCCCCCCACACTCGTGATTGAAATGATTGGATTCGTACAAAAGTAGGACGCCACGCCAGGATCTCCATCCTGGGAGGGCGGTCTTTGTAACCAATGGGATATCGCGTGTCGTCGTACGTTGATTCTGATGTTGATATCACGATTTCATAGATCTCGAGCACAACAGTCCCTTCGCAAATACAAAAGCCCCAGAATCCCCCCTCTACTTTTGATTTTCGTTCTTCAGTTCAACCTTCTCAGTCTGAAATCAAAAGACTATCTCTCTGCCTTCTCCAGAAAAAGTTCAATCATCCACACACGCTCTCACTACTCTCACCCCTCCTCCACATCTCTCTTCCTTCAACCATCATGCCTGAGAAAGACTGGGAGTACACCGGAAATGGTGGAAAATGGGATGCCTGCAAGAAAGGAGGTGCTCAAGGTATCAAGGAGTTCTTCCGAAACCCGAGTAAGTCCCAGCTCTCCCAACTTCACATCCCTCGTCTTCAAACCCAGAAGATTCTGGTCTGACTTCACGACTTACAGTCACGGAAACCGCGAAAGCTGCTGAAGCTTTCAACAACGCAGGAGATGTGAGCGATGCTTACAAGAACTCCTCTTATGGCGGCGGCGGGGGCGGAAGTGGCAGTGGCAGTGGCAGTGGAGGTAACAACGGAAGCAACAGAAACAACGGGGCCTCTAACTGGAGCAAGAAGTAGGAGATATCTGGAATTAGTGCCGTCCAGTCAGCCTTGGGGACCATAGGCTCAGAGATCATTTGATCAGTGATCACAGGAGAACCCCAAAATTTGAGCATGGGCTACGGCTATTGTTTTCCTTGTTCCCGAGTTATCGTATGCCTAGGTATCTTCCATTCATTCAATGCAGTGCACTGCCTTTGATATCGTCTCCCTCCATATATGTGATGACTACGCACTAAGAACAGAGAAAAATATCAGGGTGTGAGACTAAGTGGTGTTTGAGAATTTTCAGCTGCAAGCAATCGCTGCAGCCATAGGAGCAACGTAAATTGACTTCTGGAAACGGACTCAAGACTGAAGCCTAACCCGGATTCCTCGATCCATTGTTTTGATCTTATCAGCTTTATAAGATTCTGATATATGGAATTGACCTCTGCTTCATCCTGATTGGTCTTTGGTCGAAGAGCGCAACTCCCCACTTTGAGTGTGGAGTTTTTCTTCGTCAGCTTTCTCTTAGCCCTTAAAATTGAATCTTTCTCAAGTATTCTCGCCAGTGCCGTTACACTTATTATAACTCTTAATTTTTCTGTATCTGATAAATGCTGAGCGACCTTTTCATGTAATCGAGCTTTATCGTAATATATAATAGCCGTCTCCGTCTTGATGACGTACGTAGTTGTTAAGAGGAATGGGGTGTGCGATGATGATAGAGATCAGTGACTGCTTGCCAAGACCCATTTGGATTATGAGAGATTCATACAACATAAGCTAATGCTTTTGAATATCTTGAAGAGTACCTATGTTAACTAATCATACATATAAAACGAGGTAACGATAAATCGATAAATACCATTCTATCCATGCCGTTCCACCCACATGAACAAGGCTGAACCCCCACAACCACAGCCATTCATATCCGATACTCCAAATAACAATGCCTGACTCAACGCCAGCACAATAAAATACTCAAACATGCTCCTCCGGAGTCGCCGTGATCAACTTCATCAATTTGATGATCGGTCTCTTGAAGTCCCCCTTCATCGTAGGCATCATAGCAATAAGCTCGGCCTTCCTAACAAACCCAAAATCACCATCCTCATCATCCCCCTCAACAGATCCCGACCCATCAATCACCCCAAAAACCTTCCCCAAGAACGTCTCAACCTCCTTCAACTTCCTCACCTCCTCACTCACACTCTCCTCCACAACTAACGGTTCAAACCTCAAATCCCTCCTCCCAACCTCCTTCCTCCGGAATTTATCCAGAAACTCGCCCCCCTTAAAAATATCCTCCCCAGTCGAATCATACAACAAAACATCCCTCACACCATTCAAGATCCAGCACCGCTTGCGACAATAATCCCTCAGATTATCCCGCCAGAACCCCGTCCCCACATCGATGGCTATACTCCCCATCCTGCCCTCGACCCGGAAAGCAAAGTTCTCAAAGGACACGATGTTCCAGAACCCCCGTGGGATAAGCGTGTCGATGGCAAAATTGATGTACATACGTGCTGGCATCTCAACACGCATCGAGGGGGATATCGTCGTGGCGCAGCGGAACTCGTGGGAGTAGCATTTGAGGCATTCTGAGCGGGCGGCGCGGGATACGGATAGCAGGACGGGTGGTGAGATGGGTAAGGAGAGCTCGCTGGTGTAGTATTGGACGTAGAAGATTGTGTTGTCTTCTTCGCATTTCTTGAAGTCGGTCCAGATGTCCAGGGTGCGGGGGGTGGAGTTGCTGAATGTGCGGAAGATCTTGAGTTGGAGCTCGGTGGGGAGAGAGGAGAACTTGGGGAAAGCTGTTAATGGGGTGAAGGTGGCCATGGTGTTGGTGTTTGATCGTTGGGGATTGAGGAGAGGAGTTGTGCGTGGATGGACGGGATGATGTGATGGGTTCGGAGTGAGGTAATGGGTTGTCACGTGGTGATATCGTGAACAGTCATTTGTGTCGAATGTGAATTGACGGGAGAGGAAGAGAAAGAGAGGATCTGAAGACGTGAAGACGATTCAAGGTGAATGAATCATCCAGATCGGTTATTGGAAGAGCTGAGTGTTGGAAGGTACGAAGATGAAGAAGATGTGAATAACGTGACTTGAATCTAGCGGAGAAAGCACGATGCTAAGCTCTCCATGGGTAAATCGATCCACAACTAATCATATTTAGTAAGTCACTTGTATTTGAAGAGGAGAAAGCCGCATCAACTCAACCCGGGGTACTTAAAGTATGTACTTGAGGTGAGAGATCAGAAGTCGAGTAAGTGATTTGATCTTCGCCGGTTTTGGACAGTACATAGAAATATACTTTATCTGAGCAAATCAAATGCTCTTGAAGAGCAATTATTCATTCACATAGTTTTATTGCAAAGCTCCTCAGGCAAACAGAATAAAACTAAATGTCCATCAAAAAGTTTCATTTGGTATCATCATTTTCCATCGTCGTCATTTGCCCTAAATACCCACATAGTCAGCACACAACAAGACTCGCTTACCCCCTTTTGTCCATGACTCCTCCTTCCCTTCGGATAAACATCTGGTAATAAGTCCTCTTCAAAGAAACAAATCCTTTTAAAGAATATCCCAAAAAAGGTCCAAAAAAAAGTCCAAAAAAAATTGATGTCCCTCAGGCGCGAGTCGAACCTGTTACAACTGTTAGCAGCTGTCTGAGAGAAATTCTTGTTGGAGTTGCACTTACGCGCGACATTCGGATGAAACTGATAGTACTATTACAGTCCGACGCCATAAACCAACTAGACGACCGAGGGTTGGATCTCGAAATTGAATTCGAGGGTCGTTGAATCATGAAGTTACTCGTGATTGGTGACTGTTTTTGCTTATTTCGATAGATATAACAGACAGTGATGGCCTTTTTTGAAAGAGAGTTGTGTGGAGTTTGCCGAGGTGGTTCGCTTGCTGGCTGGATCCACTGGACTGGTTGGTGGTGGAAGTGGAGCTTCAAGGAGCTTTGATGGGAAGTGTAAGAGAGGCAGCAAACGGCTTTGAAAGCAATCCATGAAGCTCCAAAATCTTTTTAAATTATAATATAAGCTTATCTGTAATAATGCATTTGTTTTCCCATATAGTCAAGGCTTGTTGTATTGTACTGTTCATGCCAGAGAATAGAACCATTTTGGCTTTTGCCCACCACTGACCGACCCTGCTGCCCTCAGCTCGTTTGTAATTTCAAGTGTCCAAAGATTAACGTAGCTAACGATAAAGCTGCCATTTGAAGTTCACGATCGACACTATGACTTTCATTGCCGACTTGCTTGTGTTTATAATTCAAAGAGTTCAGGAGAACGCTCGTCTTCCCATCACTTGGTGGGTCAAGTCAAGCACCCCGCACTAGCACCCAGCATGCCATCAGCACTTCAACAATGAAGTAGCGCTTGGCCAAAAAGCCTTAGAACATTAAAAATGACTACATCCTTCTTTGTTTACGTTCTACTAATTGCCGAGACGCCGAATTAAATCCCTTACAATTAACAATACTTACCTTACTGCATCATCTACCTATTGGATCGTCTCACTCAAAATCCAATCCCATCCATCCATGCTGCCTCAAACCCCGCGTGCAAACCGAGCAAACATCAAAAGTGGGCTCCACCAAATCGACATTTTAACCGCATCAAGGCAAAATTTCCTTCTCACTCCAACATCCTTATCGCAGCAGCATCAACCAAACACCAGGAACAAGTTGTCTCCTCCAATACGCTGCACGCCTGGCTACAGTTGATCTGCCTGGGTTGTTTCCATACGGGCGTATTCAGGTAAGAAATAGGGAGAATATACTGCGCTGGAACTGTAAGAAAGCCTTGGCCTCGAGCTGAAGTCCCTAAAGATGATCAATAGCCTATGCAAGATACCCATATGTCCAGCCTGGGCAAGGTCTACGACACAGAAAACATACTGCATATAGCTTCATGGGCATGTTAATCCCGATCAAGGTACTGCGAATTAGTATGTTGTCTTGCGGCCGACTTCCTGCGAGTCAGCCCAGCCCAGCCCAAGCCAGCGAGCGATATCTACCCCTCCAGTCCAGCCCATTGGCACCCATACCAACACATCCCGACCCAACCCCACGTATCAACAACCATACTATACCAAGAAACTGAGCTTGGAAGGCTGCATTGCATATCCCTCCATCACGGCAGCGGAGCAAGAGTGGATTAGACCCGACCAGACCAAGCAAAAGCCGACAAACACACACCCAATCCATCCCAAAGCAGCAATACAGTCCAGCACATTGCCATGCGGCTCTCGAATGAGGGGTTGACTTGCTACAGAGGGGTAGGTATCTGTATCTATACTGACGGACAGCCGACAAAGTAAGGTAGGTATAGGTATAAAAGAGCAGCTGTTGTCTTGCAAGGGAAAGATTTCCTGCATTGCATACAGTATCGACTTCACTTATCTACAGCTTCTATACACGACTCGACAGCAGACCCTCTTTGGAAGAAAATGTATGTATACTCCTCTCTGCCCATCTACCGTCTGCATACCTCCTTTGCAGAATCAAATTCAGCTCAGTCCTGTTCAATTGCACTTCTTTGTATCTCATTGCACCATCTACCTATTTACTTCACATCTACATCCTCCACAAATAGCTAACATGGGCTCCTTCATCAGCAAAACCAAATCCACCAAATCTTCCTCTCCCGCAACCGAATCCAAAATGTCCGCCTTCACCCACCTCCCCGCCGCACAAACATCCTTCAAGCCCCCCTTGATCGCCAACGAGAACGCCTTCCTCGGTGACGTCGCCACATCCACCGACGCCACGGCACCCATCTCCGCCGGTTTCTACAGACTCGAGAAGGGAACCCCGCTTGTCTACGAGTACACATACCATGAGATGAAGATCATTGTTGATGGCGAGTTTGATATCTCTGACGAGACGGGACAGAAGGTTCATGCTGTTAAGGGGGATGTGTTTTATTGTGAGTTGGATGCATGCATACACACGTATATAACTGTATTTGGAGAGAGATTCGAGGGGAATGTGCTGGCTTTGAGAAGGAGGAGTGCTGATTCTAGTGTTTACAGTCCCCAAGGGAAGCAAGATCACTTTCACAACCGAGACATTCGGATTGGGATTCTTTGTTGGACAGAGAAAGGCATGTCTCTTTCTCCCCGTTCCCTCCACCACATCACACCCCCAATCAAAAACTAACAAACTATCTCTAGGAGGGAACTGCATAAACATCTCGGTCTGGATCAATGGCTGGGTTGGAGGTCGCGCTGTTGCTTGGCTCGCGAGGAGTTATTTGTTGGATTGGATAGTAATGAAAGATATGACCAAGATACATACTTGTGGAACTTTTCTTTGTCTCTGGCCTCGGTGAAGGGGGTGTGGTTGTGGTTGTGGTTATAGTTGTCCTTGCGATTTGGTTCTAGTGGCTTATGATATCTACCAAGTGGTGTTTGATTTCCAGTTTCCAGATCCCTGTTTCCTTGCTCAGTCTCCAGAACATTAGGAGCGCGATTTTGATATCTTTCCTTTATTGTGCTCAAGTTCCCAACCACTCTCTTGCGCTGCAGAGTAGGTCAGTTGGCCTCTGCTCTAACCAGGATTTTTCATTTTCTTTCCCCAGGAGCTACGAAAAACTCGATCACTTTCCCAACCACTTCCCTCCCGTCTTGTCTTTTATATCCAGTTCTCCTTATAGGTATGAGAAAGTGGGAATATCTGCTGGTGTTCACTAAAAACCACTCCTGTGGTTTCTGGTAGGGTATTATCTCGTAGTTTTGTTGCCATGTTTGGAAGATATGACCTTGCATCTGTACTTACATTGCTGGTTTCTTTCCTACCTGCATACTATGTATTTACCCATATCCCTCCAGCTCCATACAATCCTCACTTTATCAAGGAAGAAGTGGTCATTTCGCAGACAATCGTATCATGTCATTCATTCATCTATTAATATTCCATTTCAATTCCTAGTTCGAACTCGAATTCCGATTCCCAGGATATCATATACATATACATTGTAACTATAAAATCGCTCATGCCAACGCCAGGCTGAATCGAATCAAACCAAACCGCTCAAATCGCTCACTCGCTAGATCATAACATCATTTCCTTTCCTCTCCTCCCCCATTCCTCTCTATTCACCACCCACCACCCATCAAAATCTCGTCCTCTCCCAAGCAGGCGTAACCCACGCCTCCGTCCCCCCCTCCAACTCCGCCCTCGTCTGCCCCCTCTCATCAACCCAAGCCTCCTCATCCGTACACTCCACCACCGCGCCACAATGCCTAACCTCCTGCGCCGCAACCCCTAACCCATCCCTCGGCAGCCAAAGCCTCGGACTCCTAACCCTCATTCCCGGCGGCGAATACGCATCCCGCAACAACCCTTCCTCATAAACAACATCCACGTCCCTCACCTCCTGCGGAATCATATCGCGCAGAATGTGGTAGTCGGCAAATACCTCGGGGTGTAAAAACTTCAGGATGAAATTCGGTTTTTCGATCAGGGGGGAGGGCGTTATCCAGTATGACCAGAAGTCTACTGATGCGAGTAGAGAGGGGAGCGGGGAGGTCTTGTATTTCGCTTTCACCATGCTGCGCAGTTTCTGTAGCGACATATTCACCACGCGATCTGTACCCTCCGGTGCGGAAATTGGTAACGAGCGCGTGTTCTGCGCCCCGTGGTTGACATCGGATGTATTTGAAGATGGGTCGAAATCGGAATCATATCCTGTATTCGTATCCCCGTCTTCGAGTTTTGAAGAGTCGGCGTCGTGCTCGTGCTCGTTTTGATCTACGAGGTTGGCAGCGAGGAAGGGCGGGTTTCCTGCGCGCCGGAGCTCTTCTTCCACTGCTAGTGTGCGAGGGAGGTTGAATAACAACGGGGAGAGCGCTTGGTTTAGAGAGACGTGGATTAGTGTTGTGAAGATCACGAGGCCGAATGTTATGACCAGGGGACCAAAGGCGCCTTTCAACCCGAAGAGTCCTACCATGCATATCTCGGCGAGGTAGACGCCTGTTAGTGTCTGTTTGAGGGCGCGGGGGTAGAAGATCCCGCGGCTGTCGGGCGAGGAGGAGTAGATATAGAGGAGGTTGTATTTGTAGGTGAGGTAGACGAGGGAGAGACAGAGGGCTGCTACGCCGAGGATTAGGGGCGCGATGAGGGAGTAGGCGATTGCTAAATTCCGTTCCGTCAGTAAGATATTCGAGATGTGAAGGATGGGAGAAAACGAACCGATCACGCCCATGTTGGTGAACATGGGGAAAACAGACCCCCAATGGATCTTCCTCAGTCGATGATACCTCCTCGCAATAAGTCTCGGTCGTCCCCCAGTCCACCGCATGATCTGATGTCTAACCACACCACCAAGATGCACGATCCGGCTTGCACTCAACGCCAAACCTTGCAAGATAAAGTAGCTGATGTAGAAATTCGACGCTTTCGGGAGCGCGCTGGAGAGGAGTTTACGGATGCTCATGGGGTCCTTGATTAAGGCTCCAGTGGCGGTCGAGGCGGATGATGCGAGCGTTGTGATGAGGAAGACTTGAATCACTTGGAAGAGGAAGTAAGAGTTTTGGACGAAGAGTTCGATTCGGGATTGGGTTGCTACTCCGGCTTGACGGGCGCAGGCTGGGGGGGTGTTAGTTTGGTTGAGTGGATAAGATCGGGGGATGGCACTATGCCTGGGAAGAGAAGAGGACGAAATGAAAAAATGAAATGAAAAAACTAACCCCGCATGAGCATAGGGACGATGGCCATCAACATTGCGAGAGCGACAGCAGGAAGAAGACC